ACTGTTACCAAAGACCACTTTGCTATATATAATATATGTTGCTAATCTGATGGACATTTCTTCAGTGCATTAAAACAGCTGAACTAATGAACCTCAAGGACAATAATATAGGATAATAATAATAATAATAATAATAATAATAATAATAATAATACTGCTTGGTTCAACAAAGAACCCCTTGTTGTTTTCAGTTGTGGTTCTTAGTGAATATATATAGCGGTGACCAATTGTCTATAAGAACTGGATTAACTGCTTTGAGTTAACAACTTGACAAATATTTTCCTTGTGGTTAATAATTAATATCTCTGATTATTTTTTTAACCAAGTAAATTACATTTACCAATGGTGAAGACAACTTGGATTTTAACAAACGGTCTAAAGTGTCCAGCCACAAAGGTAAGCTGTTAATAACACCTGGTAAATAAGCAAATTGTTAGTTATAATAATTTGACTAAAAATAATTACTTGGTTTTATCATTGATTTGAATTACATTATTATAATTAATAAATTATTACTTCCAGTTCCAGTTATTAATGTATTCATAACCTATTCACAACATTAGAAGGCTACAGAAACACATAGGGTTTGGTACCCCTTATTATGCTATTATTCCCATGTAGTAACACATAGCTCTACTGACATCATGTGAGGAGGTGAACACCCAGCTTTTATAAAAATGTGCTGATTCAGTTCTCTTTGTTCATTCTGGCATGAGCCTCAGCACTGGTCTCTGTAACCATCCCTCTGCTTCACTTAATATAAAAAGAGTTTATGTTTAGTTTCATCTGAAAGTCATCCCTTTAGAGGATGTGGTTTTCACTGTCTCTAGGGTAACAGAGCTAAGAGATGACGCAGGGGCGTCTGACCGCGGATGAAAGTCAGGCCGATTACAAACAAGGCTCAGGGCAGCATTTTAACCAACCAATTAAAACCTCTCAAAGTATTTAACTTTTAAAATGCACACTTTTTTCATGTAAAAGTTTTGGAATCACATCAATCTTTTATAAAGATGAAGAACCAATTCTTGTTTTTACTGCTGACACTTTCTTTAGTTTTGTTTAATCCAGACCTAAGGAATTATACGAACTGAATGCATTTGATAAAAAAACCCTTATTAAGTTCTCAGTCTAGAATTCACATTTCTGTTTCCTACAAAGATTCTTGCTTTTTTAACCAATTAAAAATTGCATTGTTTGTTGTTGTTGTTGTCTTTGTGTGTATGTTTTTTTGTGCTTATTTTAAATAATTATCCTTTTTACTGATACAAAAAGAGATTTGTGACAAAATAACTTCAGCACTGCTTTAATGTATCTCTGTCAGTATTATTTTTTTTATTTAGATCAAACCAAGTTTTGACAAATGAAGCAAGAATGTTTTATTTTCCGACTTTTTACAAAAAAGTATACATGAAAGTAAGATAGCAAGAATATGGAAAGCTATAGAAATATTGTGGAAAAATTGATAAATATTTAAAAACTAATTTTTGAAACTGTATGTCAACAAAAAAGGTGAAAAAGATGTAGGTAAAATAACCTACCCATCTGGCCGTCGGTGGGGCTTGCAGTGATAATTTGCTCCTTGGTCCCATCAGACTTTATCTTGTACCAGCTAACCTGAACTATACTGACTCCGCTCTCTTCATAGAGGCAGGGCAAGACTGTTTCCTTCTCCTCCAAAGACTGTAAGGTAAGCTTGGATGGATCTTCCTTAGACTCTCCCTGTATCCCCGTCACTGAAACACAAAGATTGATAAAATAATAAGTTCTTACAGGTAACCCATTGCAGCAAGCCTTTCAGCTCTTTTGGATTTTGTTCAGGTAAAAGTGCTAAAACTCACAAAAACATCTTTTGACACAGATAAGAAAAAGCAAATGATTATGAAGTGGAAGGAAAAACATTTATATTTACGTATTTTTTTAAATCTTGAAACTTTTGCAATCATTCAGATTCAGTTTCCTCTACCCTTAGAGTACTAAACAAGAATTCAGTGTAAACAAAGTCATCACATGCTTCAAGTTCTTTGAGTCCATCTATGGAGAATTTATTATCAGAATAAATCAAGGTGTTTTAGAAACCACTAAATGCGTTTGGGAAGACATTACTGAACAACCTGCAACAAGGAACACAGCAGACATTTTAAACCTACCTTTAAAAGACAGTTTTTCAAACTACCTGAGTTTAGCTAAATAATTAACAAAAAAGGAAAAAACCTCAAGGTACAAAAAAGCAAAAAACAAACAAAGGCCTTGATGATAATTTTGTTGTGCTTGTGGCCTTTCATCACAGTCTCCTGACAATAGAGGGGGCGTACTTACAGTAAATGTCCTGTAGCCAAGTATTTAATGCTGCTGCTGGTTTAGGATTCATCACTTGTTTATCACTTGGTTTACTCTATTTAGCTCATTTTAATTTATTTATTTGGATCCAAATAAAAAACCATGTATGCTTCTTTTTCCGCTTGCTTTTATTCTACTTTTAGTTTCCTTTTATCTTATGGTTTAATTAATGTAAAGCCCTTTGAATTGTCTTCGTACTGAACTGTGCTTTACAAATAGCGTTGCCTTGTGTTAAGAAAAGATTTGTGTTTCTCCCCCAGACTCTTTCCTGAGAAGAGATCGTTTGAGGCACTCTTTAAATAACACCTTATATTGTATATGTATTACATAACAATGATACAAGACAACAAATTTTGATAGAAATTGTAATCTTACTCAGATCAGAGATGTTGCTTTGAGTTACATTTGGCAGCTGCTTACCAACTGTGCTCACATCTCATTGAAAACAGCCCCGAATCATTTTATAGAACTCCATTATGCCACATCATCACATCATTACATCACACACGTTTGTAAATGAGGAGACCTTCAGGGCTCCACCATGTTTTTAGATCAAGGACACTGCTCTCACTCCATTCCCAAATCTTTGCCATGTACATAATGAAAATGCCATTTGATTCTGACAGAGGAACTATTGTAATTAGTAAAACTACTTGGGAAAACATTAATTCTGACAACAGGCAGGTATTTTTAGGGTTTAACAGACTCACACATCATCAATAAAAAAATAATCCTAACACTTGCCTTTTTTATAGTCTGGAAACTTTCTCATAAAAAGCGGAATTTCAATCCAATCATAGAGACAGCTTCCAAGTCAAGTCCATGCATTCCAAGCCTGAAGCTGATTTATACATAATCCTTACCTCTTAATATTTCTTTTGTCAAGCTTTGTTTAATTTTCCATTTTCTATTATGCACTACTACTGCTAGTCTGTCCCATATAATCTCAGTTTAATTGTAAATTTCGGTCCATCTGTCAGGGTGGCAGTGGAGCTGGTCAGCGTACAGGCGAGAGGCGGGGTTCATCTTGGACAGGTTGCCAGTCTGTTGCACGGCAACACAGAGACACACAAATACATACAGCCACACACACTCACTCCAAAGGAGCCAATTAACCTAAAAGTCATATTTATGGACATGGATAACAAGCAAACTACATGCAGAAAGACCCCGGGCCAGGAATTGATCCTGGAACCTTCAACAGCTACAAATGGTGCCACCATGCAACCCTTAATTTAATAAATATTTAAGGTTTTAATAAAACAACATATTGAGAAACAGGCTACGAGCCTACAGACTGCCCATCTGGATCCCTGAGCAAGACCCTTAATCCCAGACTGCTCCTCGTGTACAGCACAAGGGGATGGCATAATGCAGAAGTGAATTTCTCCAACGTGAGAGCAATAAAGTTCTGAAAAAGAAATCCACCAGTAAAATATATGGTATGAATGAGCTTTTTAAGATTTTATGTTCAAAATTATGCAAATAAACCAACAGCTGGACAGGAGAAAGAAAAAAGTATCTTCCTGATTATGGTGCTAAAAATGATCAACATCCTTCTTCTTTATTCTCTTATGTACAGTAGATCAACGAGATGCTTGGCTTTTAATCAAATAACTGACTTTTGATCTTTGACCATGTCATTATCAGTTTTATTTATTTACCATCAGATTTAGTTATCACCACATTTAGAAAATTTGGTGAAAGATAATCACTTGAGGGACTGGTTGATTCCTCCCTTCATTCATAGACTAGTTGTGAGGTAACACTGGAGGGAAACCAACTCCTTTTGAAAGAAGCACCCCCATACAAGAGTTGTTTAATGCTGCTTCACTGTTGGCAAAACACACATGGTTGCTCTGACCTTATCTTTTCCTGATATAACAAACAATCAGGAGAGCTCATCAGTGCAGACCATCCTTTGCATTCCAGGTGTATTCTTCCTGTTAAACTAAGATTACCCCTTTTTTGGACCAAAGTGGCCTTTTTGCTCCTCTTTATATTATCTATAAAGAGGCACAATAAAAACATTGTTTTTTGTATAAACATTAATGTCAGTCTGATTATGCATATTGACACAGAGAAAAAAAAAATCTTCATTACTGACAAGCCACAGTGTACTGCGATTGTTGATCCTACCTGCAGGCAGCTGTTAGAGTGCTAAAAATGTCTATAATAACGACAATTAAACCGTTTTATCTTTGTTTTGTTTTAAAAATGTCTTTATTTGTGAGGCCATTTAGATACAAACCAATGTTTACCTATGCATGTTATTATAGTTTAAAAGTTATCTACTAGGGGTGAACAATAACAGAAGATATGCAATATTTTTGTTAGATATTGTGATGACAACAACATTTTCCCCACTTTTATTTCCTTTTTCTATAAGCATTGTCATCCTCCCTGAAATCCACAATTTTGTTCAGTAAAATCTAGATCTGTTGTCATCAGAAAGATCAGCAAAAGCCTGGCCAAGGTACCAAATACTTGACATTGTTAACATGCAAAGTTCTAGTGTATATTATATTGAATTGCCCATTGTATGTATTAATATAATACATTTTCTTTATCTACACAGAGTTTTTAAAATGTGATTAAGAGAGAACTCAAATACATGGCCTAGCAGGGGTATGATTTTAAAAGAGAACTTACAAAGTAATAACTTAAGGAGCAGGCCAAAAAAAAACAAACAATAGAAATAAACAGACGATGACAGATAACAGCTAACTAGAAGATAGAATCGGAGCCAGAAAAATAGAGAATAAGGAAATCCACAGAAAAAAACCCAGCAGGGATTACTGGTAACCAGAGAGCTTAAATACAAAGGCAGAAGAAGAAAAAGGCATAAATGAGCAGGTGTTAGCAGAGGGACAAACAGCTGGAACCAATGAAGGGAATGGGAGCTGCGGGAGGAAGGAAAATCAACAGAAGTAAACAAATATGAAGACATCAGACATAATTAACACTTAATGTGCATAAACCGAAGAAATAACTAAGAATCCAATCTACCTGAAATGGCAGAAAAATAAATAATATGGAAGAAACAGAAACATAAAAAAAACTTTCATATTGTCCTTTTGCAACAACAGATTGGATGGGTATTATTTAAGTTCTACTTGAAAACTAAAAAAAAAACAGCACAACAGAAATTAGATGATTGAAATATAATGTAAAACAATACGTCTGAAAAGTGTGGTGTGCACTTGGATTCAGCCTCTTTGCTTAATACGTACCAAATCAAATCAATTGCAAACAACTGCCCTAAGGAGATGTCACTCAAGCTTTAAATTCTAATGTCCTTTTTTTAATCTGATGTCTTGATAATGATAAATAAAACTTTTCAATACAGACAGAATACCGTCAAGCTTTATAAGTTTTTGACGGGAAAACAGAAAAACAAGGAGGAGAATGAAAGCAGGATGTCTACCAAAAGGCTGAGTACAAGCAAAGATATGTCACTGAACTAGTCGCCCAGGATAAACTTTCAAAGCAAACTCTGAGGTTACCTCAGCGTCTGGACAGCACAGTCAAAGTGGCCCCTCAACACAAAGAATGAGGAAGGTCTACCCACAATGTTCATGCGTATCAGGTATCTGAAGCACTACAGCATTAACAATTAAACAGACAATGCTTAGATGTTTTTTTTCCCTTTGTGGCCGCATTTTCAAAATGAACACACAAGCAGAAATAGCTATGATGTTAAACTCTGCAACCTGGATTTAACAGTTGAGGTGCACAAGCTTGTTTGCACCTGTCACAGTGCTTTATTTTCTCTGGCGTGCTGCTAAAGAGGAGCTGAATGAATGTTTGTGGACATTAAGCTAATACAAATAAACTCATTGTTTGCCCTCTGACAGCTGTAATTACAATGTAGACATGCAGCCCGTGTTGCTGCTGACTGAGTCCTTGCGTCAGATAAGGCACATGGCAAACAAAATGATAAAAACAAAAATAGAAGATACTTTTCTTTTTTTTTTTTTTTACTTATATATTAGAGGCCTTCAGAGTGTTTCTTTGTGGGATTACAACTCAGCTATAACTGTTCAGCAGTTTTATTTCTGAAAGACCAAAAAATACCTACATATGAGATCTTGCTTATCTGGCAATGTCTTTTTATACTAGCTTCCTCTATCTTTATTTTCACTTCTTTATCACAACACTGAACGCCTTAAGTAGATGTGCTCAAGTGTAAAAATAAAAACACTTTTAAGCTCCTATCATATCACTATGCACTTTCATACAACCTAAAGTTTGGTGCGTTGCTGGAGGCCGTTGGCACAGACCCTGAGGCAAACACAACTGTTAAATTGTATTCCGCAATCCAGATAGCGAGGAAGAGTAATTCCCCCCGAAGCAATTCACCCAGATGGGGGTGGGGGGTCCACAAAAGATTATTTAGAATGACTGAACCACTCCTGTCTGCTTCTTTAAGTTATCATAAGAGATTTAACTTAGCTGTGCCTTCTTCTACCTGCAGGTCTTACAATGCAATGCACGGGGTTTTAAAGACAGTTGGTATCGTATCCTAACAACCTCTGTAATGTAGCCAGATGTGCTGACAGTGCTGCTCCAAAAACACCCTAATCTGACTGACAGTCATGGTTAAAGGGATCCCAACAATATGCTAGCATTCATGTTTCTGCTGGTGTTGGGGTAGTAAGGATGTTGGGTGCTGCTTATAAAGGCAGCAGCATCAGCAGCAAAGCCACTTGTTTTTTCTAAGTGTAGAGAGCTGTAGGGTTCTAAGCCAATAGTCCTTCCTTATTTGTTTCACTCACTATATGCTTAGACATTATTTGATCTTTTAAAACAGCATATAAACCTAAGGTATATGTTGTTTTCAGAACAGATTGGATATGATTTGAATTTAAAGAAATATAAATATGCAGTTAAATCCATTTTTTGCCAACAAGTCTTACACTCTCCACTGATAAGAGACATATATCCCATCCTGGTGGTTTGTGTAATTAAGCTTTTTGCTGGGCTGAATGTCTTTAGATGAAAGGTGAGGATGGAGCCTAACCTTAACAAATAGGCGACCAATCATACTTTGTGTGTAACCAGTGATACGTACAGTAGAAAAGTTGAACAGTTTTGCTATTTGTATCTATGGGATTTTCCACTCAATACCAATCGGCATAAACAGATTTATTGGATCATCCGTTCTATGAGCTGTTGATGATGTTGATGATGATGATGATGATGATGATGATGATGATGATGATGATGATGATGATGATGCATGATGATGATGATGATGATGATGATGCATTAATGAAAAAGCTAAATGGGCAACATACTGAAATATGCCTTAAAAAAAACACCCAAAACATATTCATGTTAAAATAAAGCAATATATACCGAGTATTTGTCCATTTAGAGTTTACTTAGTTCTGTCTTAGCCTGAAAATAATTTTGCCACAACCTATTAGTTTACTTATTGCACACATGAGCAATAATCTAAAACGCAGAACGTAGAAATACTAAGCCAACAGGGGACTATAATTAAATTAGAAAGTCTTTGTATATAACCAGAGAGAGCTACTGGATAAAAGTCATGGTACGTGACTTGACTCCTTTAAATTTTCCACACATTCCAGTTCTTATTTGCTCTGTGGGAGAGTTCTGTTTTCATGTTGGAATGCTAGCCCAGATCCCACGCCCACCATATAGTAATAGCAGTTTTTTTTTTACATATATATTTCTTGCTCTCTGAGGGATGAAATTATAATTTTTTTTACAGTATATACCCATCTAAACACATAGAAATATTTGGGTTGTTTTCACTTTGATAGTCATGTCCAATTTTATTATCTGGGATATTGTGCTTATCAGTAATATTCTTCTTAGAAATTTTTACCAAAACCAACCTATCTGTGTTCTTTTCTAAGGAGCAGCTTTGATTACTGACAGTTCATGTTAACTCCTAGGGAAAATAGGCATTATGTTTGTTAAAAAGAAAAAAAAACATAGATTTTTTAACATTATAATAACATAAAAATGGTATTGACAAAGAATGTGTTGTCTGAGGACCTATTTTCAGTTCCTGCAGTCATGTACAGACTGGATAACTTTGTAGAAATGGAAAATTCAAATAGAAATCAAATGAATGCTGCAGTTTCATCACAATGTGTGGTAGCAATGGGAGGCAGGGACAGCAGGGCTACTTTACTACGATACCAAAGATTATCTACATAACTTGGCTGTTTTCTTTTATTTAGTTACCTAGTGCAGGAACTGGGTGCTTCACGCTGGAAGGTTTGAAAAGAGATATTGTTCAGACCCATATGGAACTTATGCACATTGCTATTCAGCATGTCAGGATGATCACGATAAGCAAAGTGGTGATCATTCCTTTCCTCCTAATAGAAAAGTATTTTCACCACGGCCAAAACCTTGTTAAATAAAATAAATTGGCCTTCCAGTGCTCCATATGGGGTAACCTTGGATAAATCTGCTTGACAGGATCATTATTAGTGCTTTAATCCATAATTGAACTATAGAGTAGAAGTGATCTTGGTAAAATAAAAACATTTAAAAGTCCAGGCTTGCAGTTCTAACAGAATTCCTATCAGGAATCCAGCAAACCAAAGTAGAGATTTTTGTTTTCTGACATAAAAAATGCGATATGTAGCATAAAGCTAACACTGCAAACCAGCTTGAACAAGATATCATGCGTGTCTTTTTAACAGGTACAGATGGGTTGGTTCAATTAAACAGGGAGAGTAATGAGGCCAAATATAAAAAAACAGGGACAGCGGCTTACCTTCTACATTCTACCTTCATAAACTTTTGGATCAAGGTGTATGCCACATATTCGAAATGTTTGTTGTCAAAAACCTGCATAATTCCTTTACAGTTACAAACTAGTTCAGGTTGAGCTGTCATATAAAATCAAATTAAAACTGAAGTTTGTGCTTTCGGAGGCGGATTAACTTAAATTTTCTATTAAGTGTTGTGCAGCTTTAGAATTTATTACTTTATACCGGACAGTAAAGTGAGCATAGAGTGATTCATAGGTTTACCATCAGAGCTGATGAGTGTACTAAGCGACTACGGTGAGGGAGGTTTGTGATCCTGCATAAGGCTTTGGGCCTTGCTGTGGAATCTGCTTGTGTTGCATTACTGTAATAATGCTAAACCATGGCTCCATGGATTGAAAACAGATTTAATTCTCAGGTGTTACACTCTCATGTATCACCACAAAGATTTTTGTTTTGGAAAATTTGACTTGATTAGGTTTCCAAACAGCAGACAGTTGATGAGTCATCAATAGGTGTGTAGTGATGTTTTGTAGTTTGGTAATAGAGCAGGGGGAAGCAAAGACCTCTTGACCTGCAGTGTTTTTCAGCTTAACTTGTACAAATAAGAAGGGTTCACGCAGTTCCAAAGCATCAGGAGGCAGATTGGTCAACTGCAACCTGTTTTTCCTGATTTATCACAGAACGCCTCCAGTGTTTTCCAACAGCCCAGATCTGAAGCTAAGCAAACTAGCCACGTCTAAGCTTTGAATCCAACATTTGCATAAACACATCTGATGAAAATAGCATGTTGAAATCAACACGACTGTTTGTGACATTATGCCTTCAGAACATTAATATTTATCATCATGATACAGGCCATTCCCCTCATACTGTCACATCCAGGTATTGAAAAGCTTCATCTTACCAAAGATCTGGAGCACAAGGAGACCCAGCAGGAGACTGTAGAGCAGAGAAGTCATCCTCCTCTGGAGTTCCTCCTAACTGTGCAAAACCTGGGACACTTTGAGCACGACTGTGAGGCTCATCAGTCCAGGTAAAAGGATCCTAAATTGGAGAGCAGCCTGGTGCATGAGGTGCCTTCATGCCTCATGCTGTGTGATCATCCTCAAGAATGTCTTTGTTCTGTGAAAAATCTTAGTCCTGTCCACAGAGCCATCCTGAGA